CTTATTGTACCGATAAAAATATTTTAATTGTTTATTAGAAATAATTGGTTTCATAATTCATCAGCTAAACTTTTTTTGGTTACAATTCATTCATCAAATTTCATTTATTTATTACATCAATTTTATATCCAATAATCAATATATATATAAGAATTTTTAACATTTTAGTTCATAATAAATAATTTCCAATAATATATATTTGATAAATAAATAAATATTTTCCAATAATATATTTTTGATAAAATAACAAATGGTAAAAAATAACTAGTGGTACAGGGCATCGTGATAAAATATTCGAGGAATTTCAAATGGTTTCAAATAGATTTTTATAAACAGTGTAACTTTCATTCGTATTCGTATATCAATAGATAAAATATAAGAGTTTATAAATTGTACAACGACATTATGTATATATGTTTACATAAAAAGTAAATAAACGAAACCTAATCAACCGAAATTAAAATGAAGACAGTAATATCTATGAGTATTATATAAACTAAATTGCAAAGTTGAAATTACTTATTTGTAGTATATAAGCAAGCTTTAACATATTAGTGATTGAAATTAAAATACGAATCAATTACGATATTTAAAAAAAAATTTTTTTGAAAATAAAAAGTTTTGAAATTTTAAAATAAAAAATATATCTTCCCTAAAAACTGATCGAAGTTAGAGATACCTTTATTAAAGTATATATAAAAATAAAATTAGAATCAGAATTTTTAACATTATATTACATAAAAGAATTTAAGATTTTTTTTGAAGTGAAACTTCTTTAGGCGCGACTGGGTGTAAATCCGTACAAATGCAACGGAAGTGCATTACGGCAGATAAGAGTCGAGTGCCAATGATTCGTTATTCCCTCTCGATGATATCATTTCTATACGGGTCGATTGTGATTAGTATGTGAATAGAGATCTGTCGTTATATGCGTACTGGCGTCAACGTTGTATGCGTACCGTTATCAACAAGTAAATCGGCATCGATAAATAAACATTTATGTAGTTACATCGTAGTACAAATCTTGGTTTAATGAAAAATGCCTGAATCAGAAGAATATTTTACCCTGTTCCTTAGAAATTATTTCAATATTATTCGTAGTTTCTATAAATCTTTGAAGTTGGAAAATATTTTTTAGACAAGACAGATATTGCAGCTGTTCAAAGAATGAGATTATATCGCGAAAAAGTAAAAAAGAATACAAGCAGTCAATGAATGTATGTTAATTTTAATTACATGGAGTTTTTCAAACACAATTACATAATGAATAAAGTTGCGAGAGCAATATTTGTTTAGGCGTTGTTTAACATAATACCTTGTGTGAACGAATATTATAGAATTTATTAATCAGCAATTACTTCATTTCTCTAATGAAGGTTCATTTCTGAATACTAATGACAATGACAAACCGATCATGTCATATTTGAAGTACTACTTTAATTACATTATTGTATTTAATTATTATACAATTTTTAATGCTATTATAAATATATAATTTATAATTTATCATTATATGAATGTGTATAATGGTTGACACTAATAAATATGTGAATCACGAGTGTTACCATATTACTAATAATTCAAATTCAAAAGTGTTATGATGTATTTATTTTTACTTGAATGCCATCTTGTACAGTAGCAAATAAGTTTTAATAATCTACTCATTTTAAAAAATAATTAATGGTTAAAAATGAAAATGCATACATGAAAGCTTATTCAAAAATAAACTTGTAACATAGTATTTTATAAAAGAAATTAATATTCTTCAATAATATCCTCATTTTAGTAATTAATAATAGACAATAAAAATACACACGTTAAATTTGATTTAATAATAAAATTAGAGCTCTATAAATAATTTGATATCAATCAATAAGTCGAGGTTCAATTGATCAATTAAATTAGGTGAAATCGAAATTTATTTACGAATGATCCGTGCGAAACATAGTAAACACACGTCGATTGCGTCATTCTTGATGTCCATGGAAAAATTCTTATCATTTCAATTTATTGATTGGCGATCGCGATTATTATTGGACAATTATGTGGAATTCTATGCGAATTCCAAGGTACATATATTTTCTGTTTATATGTTTTCGTAATTATTACTTTATTAGAATTATGATATCATTTGTTTTGTTTTATACTTAGAAGTTTTCTACTTCACATGGTGTTTATAGAGTCATCAATTATAGCTTGTTACAGAGTAGTAAGAAATTGTTAAATTACCCAAACTTTACACGGTTTCTACTAGAGATATAAGCACCGCGATTAAAGTACATATAGTTTATATTTAAATATAGATTTAGCCCTTTCGACTCGAATGCCGCCGCTCCGGCCGCAAAATACATTTAAATTCCGGAATTCGCGAGTGGAAAGAGTTAAACATTATGTGAAATATATTTCAATTATATTGGTCATATTTAAAGATCGGGCGTTACATTATAAAAAAAAAATTATGAAATTTTTAAAAATTCATTTAAATTCATACGTTTTGGCCACCATCTTAGCCTTCAATCAGTGGGATATACTACTGTTAACTATAATAATTAAACTAAGTAAATAATATGTAACAATTTAAGAATAATAACAACTAATCTAAAAACACTTATAATTTGGTATCCTTATAGTACAAATAATGAAAACATTATTGCTCCATGGTATGACATTGTTAATGTTTTGACTTTACAACAAACGAGCGTTTTGTATAATTGTAATATAAGGTGTTAAGAACTATTATGTATTTATTATAATGTTTTATGTTCATCACATCTTTATTAAAATATAAGTTAGTAATTTTAAATATAAGTCAGTACCAAATCCAGCATTTATATAAAACTTTTATAAATCGACCCTTATCTGTACAATAAGGGTCGAATCAGGTAAAACTGATTATTATTGAACGAGGGTTAGTTATGTTTGAACCGCCAACAAGTATAGATTTAAATATCAACACTCAATCAAGTAAGTTTTAATTTAAATTATAATTAATAAATCTTAAAAAGTGTTACATTAAAATAAATGTAATAAATAAGATGAAATAAGAGAACCAATAATTAATATCTCTTCAAAGGATACCAAATTGTATGCGTTTATAGTTAATTTTATATTATTATTCGTTGCATATTATTCAAATATTTAATTAGTTTAATTAAATGAAGATGGAAAGCTGATTAAATTTTTGAAAAGGCAGGACCAACGGCTTCGGAGATAAAAAAAAAAATAAAACAAAATGCCATTTGGCAGTCAAAAATGATCATTAGACATATGCACATTAATTAAATCATCTGATATTTTCAATAAGTATAAATTTTGTTTAAATTTTTATGAATTTCGTGCTAATGTTTATTTGCAAGGCCGTTAAGCGGCGCTTACGCGCTTCGATACATAGTCTTACGATTGCTTTCAAAACTTCGAAATTTTCAAAAACTTAGAATTAAAACAAAATGATCATTCGACATATTCACACTAAACCATCTGATACTTTATAGAGATTTCAATAAGTATAAATTGCGTTTACATTTTTATGAGTTTCGTGCCAATGTTTATTTGAAAGACCGTAAAGCGGCGCTTACGCGCTTCCATATTTCGTCTCGCGATTGCTTTACAAACTTCGAAATTTTCAAAAAATTAGAAAATATTTAAAAAAAATCAAATTTTTCAAAAATGAATTTTTTTCCAAAAAGTCAAAATTCTCAAATCCATTTTTTTTTAAATTACAAAAAAAAATTCAAAAAAAAATTCACAAAATTACAGTTTCGGTACGAGAAGTTCCAACAATTTGCCTTAAGACACGATGCCATGCACCACTAGTCTAGTGTACATTAAATTTTAAAAATATTCAAAGTTATTATTCTGAGTAAATCAAAATAACATCAAGTGGCCGTTAAGTTTGATTCATATTTAATTTCATGTCAATAAGGAAGTATACAGATGCCAAAAAAATAAATTAATAAAAGAAAATATTGTGAATGAATAATAATGTGATTACAATTAGTCATAATACTCTTAAATTTCCAAAATTAACGATTCACAACATCTTTAAACAGTATCATATTTTCTTTTTTGAAAAAAGACCCACCAATAATCTCTTCAAAGGATACCAAATCGTATGTGTTTATAGTTAATTTATTACTATTTTTATTATTCTTAAATTATTGCATATTATTCAAATATTGAATTAGTTTAATTAAACGGACAGCTGATTGAAATTTTGGAAAGGATCAACGGTTTCGGAGACCAAAAAAAAATAAAAGAATGCCATTTGGGGATCAAAAATGATCATTAGACATATGCACTTCCAATGATCTGATATATTATAGAGATTTTAATAGGTATAAATTTTGTTTACATTTCTATGAGTTACGTTCCAATGTATATTTGTAAACCGTAAAGCAGCGCTTACGCGCTTCGATATTTCGTCTCGCGATTGCATTAAAAACTACGAAATTTTCAAAAAATTAGAAAATACTAAAAAAAAATTAAATTCTTCAAAAATGAAATTTTTTCCAAAATTTCAAAACTTTCAAATCTATTTTTTTCAAAATAACAAAAAAATTCAAAGCAAATTCCAGCAATTTGCCTTAAGACACAATGCCATGCACCACTAGTTTAGTATACATTGAGTTTTCAAAATATTCAAAGTTTTTATTCCAAGTAAATCAAAATAACATCAAGTGGCCGTTAAGTTTGATTCATATTTAATTTCATGTCAATAAAGAAGTATACAGATGCCAAGCAATAAATTAATAAAAAATAAATATTGTAAATAAATAATAATGTGATTACAGTTAGTCCAACTGAACATTCACTAATACAAAATTTGTTTTAAATCATAATACACCTAACCAAAATTAACGATTCACAACAATATCTATAAACAGTAACATTTTTTTTTTTTTTTTTTTGAAAAAAGACCCACCAATACCCAATTTTTCTAAGGTCATTTTTCACTTTTTCCACCATAACAGGCGTATAGTAATAATCATTGCAAGACTCACCTATCAAAACCAGCGCCAGGATCAATAAATTTAAGAGTGGCACGCACAAATTCATCTTGCTTCGTCCTGTGATTTTGTTATCCGACACTTTAATAACTCACACGAACACTTTACCGGTAAATCGTTTAATCGGTGACCATTTATATCACTAGTGAAGTGATTCACTTACTGATCGTACTATTAGTGATTGGGTTCGTGATCGCTTGTTAGCGCGTTGGCGATCACGTTAACAATGAAAGGAAGACAAACGTCTCGGACGGCCGCTCGAGATAAGGCCCAGTCTGACCCCTCCACCGCCATCGAGAGACGTCCGTCTGACAGAATATGCGCTTTTGTAAACAAATTTTGTTTTCAATAATAATCGCCGACGGAGCTGATTTTTTTGATTACTGCTGTACCAATGCGCAATGTGTATATTTGACATATTATTAGAGAACTAGCTGTAAGTGGAATTCTGTCTTAAGGCAATTAAGGCATCGTGCCTTAAGGCAAATTGCTGAAACTTCCCGTACCAAAAATTATTATTTTTTTAAAAACGATTGATATTTTTAAAAAAAATTTACTTCGAAAAAATAAGATTTTTAAGAAACTATAAATTGGACAAAAAATGACTTTTTTTTAAAGATCTGAACTTTTTTTCAACGCAATCGTACTGCTTTAACTGCATAAAGACAAAATGTCAAAGCGCGTAAACGCCGCGTCGCCGTCTAACGAATAAACATTGGTACGGAACCCATAGGAATGCAAACAAAATTTATACTTATTGTTAAAATCTCTATAAAATATCTGATAATTTGATGTGCATATGTCTAATGATCATTTTTGACCACCAAATGGCATTTTTTTTTAATTTTTTCGTTAGATCTCCGAAGCCGCTAAACCTGCCCTCATGAAAATTTGATCAATTCTTCATCTTGTCAATACAAGTCAAATGTTTTTTGAATTATTAAGATCGGACGCTCCGTTCTCTTAAAAACTGAGTTACCGTTTTCGGCACTTTTTGCCCCGTATCTTTGGAACGGCTGGACCTGCCTTCGTCAAAAACTAATCAGCACGTCTCCTTTTCTATACAAATCGAATGTTTTTTTGACTTGATCGGTTGACCGGTTGATCGGTGTTTCCGAAGTCGTCGACAAAAAATTGTATCCGCACACACACACTCATACACACACATCCATTTTTTCTAAGGTATGCCAAAATATTCAGGTGTTGAAACGTGAAGATACATAAAAATTTTCATTTTCGATTTTTTTGCGATTACTATAACTTACCCTACGGAAAGTTAATAAATAAAAAAAATTACTAATCTAGGGCGTTGTGGCTATAGTATATACTACTGACTACTTATTTTTTTTATAAAATGGCGACTAATTGAAAGAAGACTGTTTTCTTACCACTTTTTTGTGTTTCTTGTTTTTTTTTAAAAAAAAACAGTAAGCATTGAAATTTGGTCATGAGTCTATTATATGCCAGAGTGATGCCTAGAAATAAGATTCACTGAAAATTACAAATAAATCTATACAGTAGAACTCGAAAAATCAATCCTTAACCTTTTACACCATCTGATTGCTTTTAGTTTCAATCTTCACAAAACTCTTCGAATAGTAAACAATTTAATGATGATGATGGGATCAAATTGTACTTAATTCAGTTTCTTTCTAATAAAAACCAGGAATTTTGTGACAGTAGAATAATATTGATGACAAAAAGTCAGTTATCAATATGAACAACGCATCTCAGAATAAAATTATTTAGTTTCATGAAAAAAATGTCCTTGATTTTCTATGAAAATCTGCCAAGTTGCCATCCTAATATAAGAGATGATGAGAAAATTATTATGAGATAATATATGAGAAAAATCTGTTAAATGTTTCGCGAAACAGCTGTATCTCCAAAAATAATTTAAGTTTTTAAAAATTTTCTTGTACACATATTCTTAAATAGTTAAACTTTAAATATGTGAAAGAAAAGAAATAAAAATATTTGTTTGAATTCTACATTACAACCCCTTAACTGGATGCAATTCCATAGATCATGAAAGTATGCGCTTAGAATTTAAATATCGAGTCATATGCAAAAAATTTACTTCGTGGTACATGGCATTGTGCCTTAAGGCAAAATGATGGAACTTAAAGTACCGCCATTTAAATTTATTTAGATATTTTTCAGAATTTTGAAATTGTTTACAAACTGTTATTTTTCAAGGCTGAGTAGCAGTTTTAGAGACTAAATATTAAAGTCGCAAATTAATTATTAAAATTCCAACCGGCATCATAACTTGAATTCTTCTCGATTTTAATTTCGAAAATTAAAGAGCAGTGGCGCAATGCAAGATATCTTGTATTTAAACCATTTAAACGCCATACACCAATTTGAACTGCTGATCTCTTCTTCCTCCTCATTTGGTTGAGAATTTATAGAAAAAAATGAAATTATCTAAATTCATTTTTATTGTGGTGCTTTTCCATGGATTAGAGCTTCGGGATCACCATCAGCAGTTTCAAATTACTTAAAAACATAGAGAGAAATTTATCAATAAAAATAGTACAAATATATTAAAAAAAAAATAATTATAAATGTGGAGCAACCGTTTGGGTGGCAATCTATAAAAGAAAACTCCTGTCGTTTAACTCACAATCAACACAACAGCTCATAGAACTCGTTAAGTTCTGATTGGTGTTGAAGAATACTTTTTTGCATTGCCATAGTTAGACTAAAATATTAACAAAAATTGAAATGAGACAATTGTGAGTTATACTTAAATTTTTTTAAATAATTTTGCAATATGCCCCTTGGATCAGTGCGGTTGTCTGATTTAATTTTTCAGTATTATTCGAATATGAAAATCCTATATTTTTTCTTATAATTTCTGAAATATTGTATAATTTAATACTCCAAAATACTCAATACTGCGTACAAAATTATTTATTGAGATGTATATGTGCCTGAGCATTGCGATTAAATTATAAATAATAAACTAAATATTTATCAACTTCCTTTCTCCTACATGAATATATATATATATATATATATATATATATATATATATATATATATATATCAAACTTTTGTTTGGATGAAAATGAAGCACATCGAATTCCTTTTGAATATTGCACAATAGAACAATAGAATAAAACAACTTTTTGTACTTAAATTTCACGAGAAATATAGTTTATATTTACTCGATCAAATCGATCAGATGACAAAAGAAGTTTCATATAAACCATTTAATAATATTGAGATGATCGAACCCATTGTCCATTCTTTCATACGTAGCACCTAACCACAAATTGTGTATAAATAATAATATTGACGAACAAACTGATCGTATGATATATAAATTAAACATAAATCAATTGTTTTATGCAAGTATTACAATAGAATTTGATTGCATGCTTGAATCCCTTTGTGGCAAGTTTCAAAGCTCAAATGTATGATCACATTATTGACCACAAGTTTAGATCAACGGCCGGCAGAAAATTCCCTAATAAATAAGGGTGTATACAAAAATCTTCCATCATTTAATCAGATAAAGATAAAATAATGATTTATGCCGACTAAAAATTCAACATATTTTAGACTAATTTCTGTTTTTTGTTTCATTTTCTTTCAATACTATTCTCTTATACCATTTTATTCTTAACCTACAATAATGTCCATTTCTTAAAATATTGAATATTATTGAAGCTCTCGCCACTGAAATATTTTATTTTTTAATTAAAAATCTAGGTGAGAGATTTGTGAATAATCCAAAATACATTAAATTTAATTTAAAATTTCATTATATAATGTAATTTACACTTTCAGGGTTACATAGTTTTTTACCCTCAGGTATTACACACTTTCACGAATTAGGTATACTCTTACCATTGATTTTATATATTGGTGAGGATCACTTTGATTAATTTGATATTGAGTGGACTGTAAATTATAAATATTTCATCACCATAAGAAGATGTGAATAAAACCACTATTTAATTTGACATATATTGAACTACACTCTACAACCTTCTTCTCTTATTACATTTGCTATTCTCTCTTATTATTATATGTTACAGGTATTTATACTCCTATAATTGTATCCCCTACCCCGAAGGATCCCAGGTTAAATAAAAGCCCTGGTCAAATCTTGATCATATATAATGGTATGTATTATGTCGTACATGTGGAAAAAAAGTATAGGTTTGATAAATCATAAAAAAGTTACAATATTTAGCAAAATAAATAAAAATTAAAATATGCGCATTACTGTGTATTAGAACAAATGTTATTTTAATATATAATTATATTTCTATTTTTTTCTTGAACATTTAAACAATTTACTATGGTACCATTCTTTTATAATTCTTACCGCAACTTTGTGGTAATTAAGCACAACTTTGTGCTTAGGTATTTGCCTGTGCAAAAATAATAATATAGAAAATTTTATTATATAGGGTAAAGTTGGGCTTAAAGGCCATTATTTCAAAAATAAGTATAGAGCTTTTAGTGATATTATTTTAAAGTACAAGGCAAAACATGTGTAATGAGATCATTTTAACAAAAGATTCTATTTTGTCGGTACTTTTTTTTGGTTTTGAGCTCTTTTGTTTAGTTCATGATACTTGAATGTAATCAAATATACGTCATTTGTTTTATAATATGTATTTATCTTTTATATATATATATATATATATATATATATATATAAGACAAATTTTTTTTTGTTCATATAATCGCTGTGAAAGTTTACATATGCGTGGGGTAAAAATAACCAACTAAACCTATACATAGACAAAAATACAAAAAATAAGATTAACTTGAAAAAGCAATTTTACAAGAGAAATATTGAATTAATAGTTCACTTCATTTCTGCTGATAATTATCACAAAATTCTAGATCCAGGTTATATACGGTGTGATCTTTGTAAAAAAAATGTGCTCATGATTTTTTTATTTTGCATTGGTTAAATAAATTAGATATCATTAAAATATTTTTAAAATTAAAATTAAGACATGTATATGTTTGCCCGATGGTTGTCCCTTTATACCTTGTCTATGGTGCAAGAAGGGACAGGTAAGAAATTTTAGAAAAAATCTAAAAAAAACATTTTTAAAATTAAGAATTAACTGGGAATTTTACTGAACATAGTTTCGATAGTTGTTTGTTTGAAACATGTTTTTTGCTGCGATGTAGTTCGTTTGCTTTAGGCAGTATAATTACTGAAACTCAAAT